TTGAAGCAAACAGTGATGCCTTACTTTTTCTATAATTGTGTCGCCTTATCTTTCAGATTTTGTAACAAATTTTGTGGTAAACTGTGTTAACGAAAAACCTAATTTTTAAAATATAACCAACCAAATATTCAGGATGATTTAGCTTTGCTTTTAGTATATTATTGCTAAATGCCATTAATCTGCTTGCATACTCCTGCAACTATAACTGGATGAAGTGGGTTGAGCTCGTTGTCGCAACTTGGTCTTGTTGTCAGGACGACTTAGTAGAACGCACCTTGTCCGAAGTCCTCTGCCATAGTAGTTATCATAACTCCCAACATCAGACAAAGGACTTGGTACATTCTCAGACGTTTTGCCGGCATCGTAGTCGGTATCATCAGTTAGTGCTGCCATTCTCCGCACCAATCTACGAACTCGTTAAAGAGACAAGTGAAGTCAATCCCTCGACAGACACATTATCACTCCTCTTTCTGTCCTGGCCCATCTATCAACTCTTTACTTTCTGACTTGTTTACATTCCACTCGTCAAAATGTGTGCCCTTTTGTGGCAGATCTATTGTGGCCTCATCACACTTGCTATTCACCCTGACCCCCTCTCCTTTGATCGGCTAATTCGACTCGGGCCTTCTGTCCGGATATTCCTCATGGTTCTGTAGATCCGCTGTCTTTCTGGTTGACCAGTTCCACTCGGTTCCAGTCCCAGTGTGCATTTTACTCCATGCGCTATTTTTCAAGGCCCTAGAAACACGTACGCCTTAGCCTCACCGAGCAAACCGCCTAGACTGTGATTCCTATGTATACAGTTATCAGGAATTACCTTCATGGGTCGTCTCCTTGATTAAACCCATGTTACCTGAGCCGGTCGTCTGCGGCATCTCAAGTGGATTTATAGTACATTTTGTCCAAAATGCCGAATGTTTATGGTGGTTCTGCTTATCCGTCTGCCTATCTCCCTGACTGCCAGACGACTAAAGTGTTACTGGTGCAAGTGATGATTGCCGAAATTTCCCGCCCCCTCCTTTTCTCATTGCGATCCTTTTTCCTCCGGTTAGCGATAGATCCCTGATCCAGGCGTCTCCATTTTGCTGGTCTTACTGTATTCTTGTTTTCTCCGAGTTTGCTTAAGCAGTCAGAAATGCAGGTAGAAGATACACAAAGAAGGCGAGCCACTTAGGCTGTTAGTCAACGACAAGTATGTAGAAACACACACATTGGCAAATTTCATATATTTGAAGCTCAAGAAATTACATAATTGGCTATGCAATACGATGAAACATTCATATGAATTTTTTCAAAAAATAAAAAAATGTGGCACTGGAATAAACAGACTTATTGCTAAGTTTTGATATGGAATCGATGTATTCAAATATCTTTGGAGATAATGCGCTAACGGACCTGCTGAAAATCCTGGATCGTTAGGAGTATATCCTGGAATCACAATGGATCATGAGGGAGTCGTTAACAAGACTAATCAACTTGACAATAAAAACAATCTATTTTATATTCAACGCGACCATCTATGGACAAATATTTTGACTCCCATGGGATCGCCGCTCTCACCATTTATGGCAAACGTATACATGAACAAAATAGAAGAGAACTTTAAGATAGCACCGCCACAATCAGCAGGGCTCATGCGGTACCTGGAAGATTACTTCGCACGTTGGTCACATGGAAAAGAAAAACTGGAAGAATTTAAGAACTTTGCAAATCAAATTGATGAAAAAATTTAATTCACGAGGTAAGTAGAGGAAGGTAAGTGGTTACCGTTCCTGGACGTTGAAGTGATTCGTTCTAATGGAACGCTGAAAAAGAAATTGTTCAGAAAGAATTCCAATGCCGAGATAATACTCAATTTTCGGTCCCATCACAATTACAGACCAAAGATAGAAATAATGAGGAGCATGGTCCTCCGTAGCCTACGTCTAAGGGATGTAGAATTCTGGGACGAGGTGCTATACAAATTGACTGGAATATTCCTCGGCAATGGCTACCCAAACAAAGTGATTCAAAGAAAGATACGGGCCGTGAAACGCCGATGGCGGAAAGGGGACTATGAAAGAACAGTATGGACGATGAAGGATTCACACAAGTGGATATGCCTACCTTCCTGAGGATTAACTCACAAACTACGGCCAATATTGAGTAAATGGAATATTCAGATGGCCATGACAGAGAAATCAACACTTCACAAGTATACCGACATAACATGAAAGGGTAGATAAATTGGATTGTTCAGGAGTTTACTGTATATCATGCGGCGCCTGCGAACAGAAATATATTGGCGAAACAGGGAGAAAAATTAACATACGAATGAAGGAACATCAGAGACTCTGCATGAAAATGGATAATGAAAGATCAGAACTATCGGAAAACATAGCACAGACTAGAAACGCGATCAATTGGAAAGCAGCAGAAAGAAAATACAATTAAACGGAAGATTAGAGAGGCCATTGACATACTTGAGGAAATTTTTTTATTGAACTTGAGATTGGAAGAAGGCAGAGTTGGCGCAAACTTTGCCTACTACTTAAACAAACTCGGAGAAAACAAGAATTCAGTAAGACCAGCAAAATGGAGATGCCTGGATCAGGGAACTTTCACTAACCGGAGGAAAAAGGATCGCAATGAGAAAAGAAGGGGGCGGGAAATTTCGGCAATCATCACTTGCACCAGTACAGCCTTAGGGGCCTGGCAGACAGATAAGTACAACCATCATAGAAATTCGACATTATGGCCAAAATGTACTAGAAATCCACTTGAGATGCCGCAGACGAACGGCTCAGGTAGCATGGGTCTAATCAAGGAGACGACCCGTGAAGGCAATGCCTGATATCTGCATACATGGGAATCACAGTCTAGGCGGTTTGCTCGGTGAGGCTAAAGCGTACGTGTTTCTAGGGCCTTGGAAAATAGCGCATGAAGTAAAATGCACACTGGGACTGGAACCGAGTGGAACTGGTCAACCAGAAAGACAGCGGATCTACAGAACCATGAGGGATATCCAGACAGGAGGCCCGAGTCGGATTAGCCGATCAAAGGAGAAGGGGTCAGGGTGAATAGCAAGTGTGATGAGGCCACAATAGATCTGCCACAAAAGGGCACACATTTTGACGAGTGGAATGTAAACAAGTCGGAATTTAAAGAGTTGATAGATGGGCCAGGACAGAAAGAAGGGTGATAATGTGTCTGTCGAGGGATTGACTTTACTTGTCCATTTAACAAGTTCGTAGATTGGTGCGGAGAATGGCAGCACTAACTGATGATACCGACTACGATGCCGGCAAAACGTCTGAGAATGTACCAAGTCCTTTGTCTGATGTTAGGAGTTATGATAACTACTATGGCAGAGGACTTCGGACAAGGTGCATTCTACTAAGTCGCCCTGACAACAAGACCAAGTTGCGACAATGAGGTCAGCCCACCTCTATCAATCGAAAGGAGAATGCGACCATCTTGGTCTTCATATCTTCGTGATAACTGGATGCATTTTTATTTGCATAGAAGTTGAACAACCGATGCACTGCCATGTTCACTACTTTGCTGCTTCGATGAATCTTAAGCCTCGTTGTGAAAGTCTTATTCCTAAAGACATTCAGGAGCTTTGAGATTGTTTAAAGATTTTTCAGAGACTATTAATCTACTAGAGTTTAATATATTTGTTTTTTTAAGACTTTAAGACACGAAAAAAATATGGATTTGGCTGTCAGATGCCAAGAATTTTGGGCTTTTTGATGCGCGATGCTCTCTGCTTTTGTTTGCGCCTTTTGTGGCGGACTTAAACAGTCACCAGATCCGACTTCGTGCACATCCTCTATCTGGCTTAATTTACGCATCATGTAAACAGTCGTGTTTATACTGGATCTTGCGTCTTTTGATCACTTTGTCTC